TGTGTGTGTGTGTGTGTGTGTGTGTGTGTGTGTGTGTGTGTGTGTGTTTTGAGAATGATACTCGGTTTACTAGCCCATTTACTAACTGGATGCTTTTAATTTTTTTTCAGATCTTTATGTTTTTAGACGTTAATCCCCTGCCTGATATATTGTTGGCATTTTTTCTCCCATTCTGTAATCAGTCCAATGTTTTAAAAATTTAATTGACTTTTTACATTTTAATGTAATTCATCACTTTCTCCTTTCCCTTTCCTCCCTCCCACACCTTCCATGTCCTCCACACTCTCAAGCTGATAGCCTCTTTTTTTTATTATTATACATGCATGTGCATTCTATTCTGAAATGTTCCCCGAGACATGGATACAGGAGCCAGACTACAGATGTTTCCACTGCAGCTGAGTGGAATCCCTTGATCTTTTCACTGTGTCCAGTTGTGGTTTTTTGTGATGGTATCTATTTGCTGTAGCGAGAAGCCTCTTTGATGAGGGCTGATAGCTCCACTTATCTGTGGTTATAAGGATAAGATTTAGAATGCAGTTAAAGAATTATGCTGGTTTAGCAAAGTGACGATAGCAGATTCTCTTGTAGGAGTCCTAACCCCATTAGCCCCAGGTGGTTGGCTGGGTTTCTGGTAGTAGGCATGATTTCCTTCCTGACGAGCAGGTCTTCCGGCCACTGAAGCAGCTGCTGGTTACCACCAACACGGCAGTGGCGCTATTACACCTTTATGGACACCTTGCTGTGCTGATCATTGTTGTGGTTCACATGCCATAGCTGGGTACGACTCATAATTGCCTCCCTTCCTTGGCAGTTTACATAGTTAGTACCTCACGACACTATGTAGACTAGACTGCAGGGCGGTGCTCTCAAGGCCAATTCAAGTAAGCCAAGTCCTGTGTCCTAAATGTTCAATGTCTTCAGCCATAGGGTCTTACCATCAGCGTCTGAGGGGAATCCCAGGGCAACGTCAATGGTATATATTGTTTGGGGAGTCATTCGGACTACACTGAGCAACCGGTCAAAAGGAGGTTTCTCATGCCTGGTACTGTTAGTATATTGTTCTTGTAGGGAGGATTGTTGGCCCAAGTGGCACAACTTCATTTAAGATACTTACTCTCTCTCACACATATATTGTATATAGCTTTAGGCAAATATAAAATAATCTTTCCTCGAGACTTTTTCAGACAACCTTCGGTGCTTACTTATCCATCCTTCTTCTTTCTCTTTATGCATTACCCTCCCTCCCTCCGTCCCCGTTAGAGCCGCCCTTCTCATTTTCCCCCTTTCCCTTTCCTAATACCTGTATCCTATTCCTCTCTCAAAAATTCTCTGCTTTCCACAGAGCCTTTAAAACCTGCTGGTTTCTGTGGTTACTCATTCACATCTGCAGTCTTGGAGCTAGGAGAGAACATGAGTATGGCATTTGTCTTTCTGGGCCTGGGTGTCTCGCTCGGAATGATCTTTTTTAGTTCCACGAATTTACCTGAAAATTTCATGATTTCATTTTCCCCTTACAAATCAATGGCTTCCATGTAGCACATTTTTCTTGTTCCTTCATCTGTTGTCTGTGTCTGTGGAGTAGGAATGATACTGAGTCCTTTGAGCCTATGCCCAGGACTGGTATTTCTGGGCCATATGGTAGACTTAATTTTAGGTTTCTCAGTTCAGGATTTTAATGAAAGATGTGCAAAGCCTTTTGAAGACCAGAGTGAAGAATGTAGTCGCAAAGGAAAGAGGAACAGCCCCTGTTTCCCATTGCCCACACCTGGAGCACATTGCCTGCCTTTACCACGCAGCCCTGCTCCTCTTGTGAGTGAGGAGCAGAATCACAGAGGGGGCTGTGATGACACAGCTCTATTACTTGTGTGCTGTAGTATTTTAAAGGCCCATGTGTCTAGCTGGTGGCTGTTTTTAAAGACTTGCTGTATTTCTCATACGACTCTTAGGGAGAACAGAAATTGTGTATATGGTGTTTTCCCGAAATACAGCAGTGCATTGGGGGTGCAGCCAATTGCTGCCTGTTGTTTTCCTGGGTTGGAAATAGATCTGTAAACTCAGTCCTACTCTGGGCCTTATGTTCCCGGAGACCGGTGCGACATGCTTGCTCTAGAGAAGGGTGCGGTGGGAGAGCAATGAGGGTGAACTACAGACACAAGGAGCCACATGTGGCCATTGGCATAATTGAGCTATCAACTGCTCCAGGCTTTCATGGTCAGGTGATAGACAGTTCTCTAGAGATGATCTTTATCGTCATCCTTGTTAACATCCCAAATATGTGTGCCCTTCTAGTGTTTCTCAAACATTATCAGAGAAAATTACTGGAATTGGTAAAATTCTTCGAACATTTCAAGGAAATGGCATTTGTGCTTTCCCTCATCAAAATTCTGTGTACGGCTTTAGCTTAGTGATACCTCATAATGTAGGATTCGATGCTCACCCCGGTATGAATTCACTACTCAAACAATGTTATTTTGTGGGCCCGAATGTTATTGTGTCTGTGCACTGGGTTCATGCATGTTCCTGTGGAGGCCAGAAGTGGATCCCCTGGCACTGGAGTTAAAGGTAGCTGTGAGGGAGAAGGTATGGGTACTGGGAACTGAGCCTACATCCTCAAGGAAGAGCGACAAATGTGCCTGACTACTGTTATCCCTCCAGCTCCTCAAACAATACTCTTTAAATTCTACTGTGGTATTCAGTACCAACTGTGACCTGACATGAGTGTTACTTTTGTATTTTTGAGACGGATTCTGCTGTATAGCCCAGGCTAGCCTCAAACTCACATCCTTCTACCTCAGTCTCTTTAGGGCTGGGATGACAATGCCTCCATACTTAAGTCTGGGATGAGATATTAACCAGAGTCTCAGCCTGGGTTTCACTCTAGAGGACACATTAACCAGCAGGGTCAGTGTCCATGGTTACAAGTGTTGTGAAACGAACAGCACACAGGTCGGCTGACCTCTCTATAGGTTGGAGGTTCAGGAAGGACTCCCAGAGAAATCAGCAATGGGGTTTATCCCAGGAGAGTGGTTGGGAGTTAATAAAAATGGGGGCTTGCATGGGAAGTCAGCATCATTCTGCACAGAGGATTCTGGGGATCTGTGGAGGCGGGGGGAAGCGCTCTGTGTAAGAAGCTGGAAGACATTGTCAGGTTTGTGCTTAAGTTTGGGCTCTGAGTGGCCCAGAGTAGATGAGATGTAAAATGTTCTCTGTCTCTGTGGCAAAGAACAACTGAGATTAAGTTTTTAAAATACAATTTGAGGGTAAAGAAGCAGGATTTGCTCACTAGAGAATTCCCTGAAAACCAATAAAGTCCAAAGAAGAACTGGCCATAGGCAGGCGCCAAGCACAGCTCATTTGAACTGTGTTGTTTGTGTTCCCACTTTCCTCAGGTGTAAGTTTGATGCCAGCATTAAAATCATTGGTGTACCATTTTGCATATTGACATATTAGCTTATGGATAGGTTCCAGCCCTTATTTTTAAGCACTCTAAGTCAGCGTCCTTTTTAGTAGCTGTGTAATGCTCCATTCCATTTACTCTGTTGGGCAGGTTCCAGCCTTGTTTTCAGTCCTCGTGGAAGACGATCCGTGAGAGGGTAGGTAGCCTTCTGACATCCCACAGAGCTCACTCAAAGGTTAGGGGTTCTGGGGAAACTAGGTCCTTGTGGGGACTGGCACTTGAAGTCCAGTGAGGGAAGCGGACATCAGTGAAGTGACCATGGAAACAATGTGAAATTGTGACTCTGGCCCAGGAGAGAACGTGGTGCCATGAGCCTGACCAGGTGGGTATTTCCCAAGGGAGTCAGGGCGGGCTCCCAGAGGAAGGGGCAGAGGAGGTTAATGGGAGCAGTTTAGTTGGCACAGCATTCATCAGGCAGCGGTCCCGGGAGCGGGCCAATGGACCAAGCATGCTCTCATCCTCTGTCCACAGCCGTTCCAACCCAGAGAAGAAAGCACTTACATGAGGGTCTGTTTAGGGCCGCAGTCTGCAACAATGGCTTTTCGAGTTTAATAACGTAGTTTTGGCTGCTTGCTGTTTCCTGTGAGCTTAGGGAGGGTTTCTGGTCTATGGCAGATGTGTCTAGCACTTGGTGTTTCCTGCAGACACGCAGCTCAGTGATCTTGAGCTGAATTTAAAGGCCTTCCAGTGAAGTAGCCAAAGAATTGCCTCTGCCACAAGGCTTAGGCAGAAGAGCCACGTGTCTGGTTGTTACGAATCTCCATTACGTCCTGGTTAATGCAATTGCTGGATATGTTTTTTTTTCACAGGATGACATTATCTCTGAAAAAGATCACATATATGAAAGGCCAAACTACCCCCTGATGAAACACGTACCGCCTGAACAGAGATATTTTTAACTACGCTATCATGTAAGTAAGCAGCTCAAGTACTGTTTGTTACTGTGGTTTTCTAAAAACAGTTTTCATCTCCTGCTGTCACTGAATAGCTAGGAAATGTGGGGGAGGTGGGGAGGAGCTTTGAGAACTGTGTGCCCCCAACCCCGTGGAACACTGATAGCAAGGGGCCTGCTAGTTCTCACGTCTTCTTGTCCCACACCTTCCCTGAGTGTTTATGTAGGGGAGCCTTGGGCTTCCCTCAGCTCCTTGACCAAAGCCTCTGTCCTGCCTTGGGACCTCCGCATGCTTTCTGGACTACTACTTCCCAACTCAAATGGAGTCCCTTCTGTTTGTTCTTAGGTCTGTGACTCTCCGTGATTCTCCCTGCTCTTCTAACACACACCTGTTAGCACCCTGCCTGTTTCTTTATGAAGGAGATGACACAATGTATTATTAATGTTTAAAATCAGTCTTTTAGAATAGCTAGAAGCCCAGCATTTAGCTCAGTACAAGAAAGCCCAATCACACACGCTGGCCTTGGGACCTCAGCAAGGTCCTGCCTTCCCATACTCACTCTGCTACTGTCCTTACATCTGTTGACCCTCCAGCATGGTCCTTAGCAACTGCACTTCTATATGAATGCTGAAGGGGGTACTGAGGCAGCTGGAGAATGGTAAGGTGGCCAGAAGGTGATGGTCATAATTTCTTACATATTCCCTTAGTTTCCCTCCTTAATACATGCCCCAAATAATTGTGTTTCCTTCAAAAGTGCCATGCTTGCCTGTGAGTTGCAAGTTGGATTTCTGTAGATGGGACTGAGGAAGGGGAACTTGGATCCTGCCATCTTATTGACTGACAGCTCTACGCTCTTCCTTATGTATTTCCTACATAGGGTCAAGAGCTAGCCAGGTACATCCCACGAACTAAATGAATTAATGTTGAATTCTGACAACAGCCCTATGAGGAGGGTACTTTTACTAAGTTCTCTCTTTGAAGGTAGGGCCAAGACTGTCTCGGTGCACAGTAGACTTCAGACCACATTCTGAATCGTCATCCTTTTGCCTTTCCAAAGCTAGAGCATGACAGAAGAGGGCTGAGGATGGAGTGCACGTGCAAAGGACAGCCGTGTGGCACCCAGGCAGTCAGTGGGCCCTGCCATTGAATGTTTCCCCAGGGGTTATCATGTTCTATCTTAAGCTCATCAGAAAGGAATAGGCCTCTTTAAGCAATGAAGGAGAATAGGATGGCCTGCTAGATTTCCCCACCGTCAGGCTCCTGAAAGTCTGGCTTGAGGGTCATTTATGCTTTAGGACACACACTGCCTCTGCCCTCAGCAGAGAGGAAGGAGGACATCTCGATAATTGCCCATCCCGTAGGCTTTACTTGAGAACGTTCTGCTTGGTAGATTAAAGGGTGGATTCTAGGCCACTTAATCTCTTGTTGCAAGATTCTCTATGCTTATATTAAGTTGTTACACGGAACGTAGCACAAATAATTACCAAATGCCAAATTATATTGAGTTTCTATGTAAAATCAAGCTTCAATAAAGCTGACATCTGGACACTGATCTGAGGGGAGGGAAGGAAGGAAGGAAGGAAGTAGACTCCCACCAATTCTCCATTACCAATTCTGTCTTGGAAAATGGGTTTCTTTCATAACAGAGTCCCCACTCAAGGTTTGGAAAATGATCATAGGCATTTCCCAGAAGCACTTGCTCTTCATTTGATGAGTGATGCTTCTTGACTCCTGGATTCCTAGTGAGGCAAGGATCCCAAAGGACAGAACTAGGGAAGGGTCTCCAGGTTGGAAGGCACAAAGCCAGACAAGACCAAGCACTAGGCAACTCTGGAGCTAACTGGGCCTTTGCTTTAAATGAGAAACTTTAAAATGAGAACATTTCCTACCAAATAAACACAGTCTCCCCCCCCCAAAAAAAAAAAACAGAACAATCCCATGACTTCCCCAAGTTGTTCAGGTACCCCAGGTTCTCTTAAAGGCATGCCTGCTCCTGTGCTTTGGTCCTTGCTGAGCTGATGCCCATGTCTAGTGTCATGACTGAGCTCCAAAGGCTGTCCCAGTCCCCAGGCAGTGTCAGGACCGCATTCCCTGTGCATGGAAGTGGTGGGGGACAGGGGACTGAACACAGATATGAGCTGCAGTCCACTGAATGCTATAGTCTCCCATCGGCACCCAGATTTCATCTGGAGCCAATCCTCAGGAGGAGGGAGCAGGAGCCAGCCTCACTGTCCTGCTTCTAAATAGATGGTAGTCAAGTTAGAATTTCCTCAGATAGGGGGAAATTGTAGCCTCCTGCTTCTTGTAAAACTCAGGAACACCAAGAAAGTAAAGTATGGCAAGAAGAAAAATAGAAAGGTTAAATTAAATCGAAGTGCTATTTTCTGATCCTGGTATCGCCCAAAGCCCTAGCTCCTGAGATAATAGGGGCTATGGGCTTTAACCGCACCTATCCCAGAGATCCTTTACACCCATTACCATCACCACTGAAAGCAAAATAACCTTATCTGGCAGAGCCCAAGCTCCATCAGTCAGCATTTTCCATCTAGATTTGGGAACCAGCATCTGAGGGACTTGTCATTTGGTGGCTTGTGGGGGACTGATGTAATGGATAAATATACATGGTCAGTCTTCATCCTGGATGCCCCATCAGCATCTCCCAGACCACACAGGGGGTGACTGTGTACCCAAGGTGCACAGCAGTAAATTTCTAGGCTACAGGCTTCAAAGAGCCTTAGATCCCTGGGAGCTCTGAAGATATCCTGAGGCTTATGGCTCTATTCTGCACCAGTTCAACCCCAGCGGTGCCCAGCACTGGGAAGGCCACAGGGAACTGCTTTTTAGGAGATTATGTGCACTTTTAAGACAGACATCTCTATAGTAGAATTGAGTTGTGTGAGGATGGGGAATTCACAGAGCAGTGGATAGGAGCGTGTTTAACACTCCCACTTAATGAGATCCAACAGGATTGGGCACATTTGCTGTGAACTGAGGACTCCATTACCCCCAGGAGGAGCATGGAGAGGGAGAGGCTCTCAGGGCCATTGCTCTGCTGCTACACAAAGGGGTCAAATGCCCTGCCTTATTCTAAACCAGGGATGTAGGGGAACCGGCTCAGAGAACAGTCACTTCCAAGGCTGAGCTGGTTCTAAGGTTAGGGTAGTTCATGTTTTTCTCCTTGGCTGTGTCAATTATTCCCCTGTTTCTCAACACCACATGTAGATGTGATATTTAAATTTCACAGGGGAACATGAATGAAAAACGAGGAAGGATAAAGGGTTCAGTCATGGAGACACTGACACATCCTTGGAGAAGAGAACAACATTCTTTGTTGTCTGGGTCAAGTTACTGGTGCCCAAGCCCCGTTAAGTCAAACCTTATTCTCAGTCTTTTGTGCCCAAGGTAAGATGTGTTGATTAAATTCTGTTTGGGGCTCTGCTTCACTTGTCGCCTGGAGAATTTGTATTTTCTGTTGTGTTTATTTTGAGCATGAAATATAGAAAACATAATGGAACTATGTCAGGAGCTCTTCCATTTGGAAAGCATTTTTTAAAAATGTAACAAAATGTATAAAAATGTTTGGCTATGAGTCTCAGCATCTGCTTTAATACCTTGCTGGGTAGTCTTTCAACAGTCCTCTGTGGTAGGCTCCTGTCCTATTCCCTGTTTTCTGCCTCTTTCTATGTCCATCCTATTTGCCTTTCTGAATGAGGATTGAACATTTTACCCAGGGTCCTTCTTCTTGTTAGCTTCTTTAGGTGTACAGATTTTAGTATGATTATCCTATATTATATGACTATATCCACTTATAATTGAGTATATACCATGTGTGTCTGCTTCTGGGATACCTCACTCAGGATGATCTTTTCTAGTTCCCACCATTTGCCTGCAAATGTCATGATTTCCTTATTTTTAATTTCTGAGTGATATTCCATTGTGTAAATGTACCACAATTTCTGTATCTATTCCTCAATTGAGGGACATCTGGATTGTTTTCAGATTCTGGCTATTATGAATAAAACTGCTACAAACATGCTTGAGCAAATATCCTTGTTGTATACTTGAGCATCTTTTCGATATATGCCTAGGAGTGGTATAGCTGGATCTTGAGCTAGCACTGTTCCTAATTGTCTGAGAAAGTGCCAGATTGATTTCCAAAGTGGTTTTACAAGTATTCATTTCCACCAGCAATGGAGGAGGGTTCCCCTTTGGGCAGAATACAGGGAATCTTATGAAAGAAAAACCTCGAGGGTACTGGAGCTTCACAAGGAGAACAACAGAACCAAAAAATATGGACACAGGGGTCTTTTCTGAGACTGATACTCCAATCAAGGACCATGCATGGAGATAACATAGAACACCTGCACAGATGTAGCCCATGGCAGCTCAGTGTCCAAGTGGGTTCCCTAGTAAGTGGAACAGGGGCGGCCTCTGACATGAACTCAGTGGCTGGCTCTTTGATCACCTCTCCCTGAGTCGGGGGGGGGCCAGCCTTACCAAGCCACGGAGGAAGACAATCCTGATGAGACCTGATAGGCTAGGGTCAGATGGAAGGGAGGAGGACTTCTCCTATCAATGGATTGGGGAAGGGGCATGGGAGGAGAAGAGGGAGGGAGGGTGGGATTGAAAGGGGATAAAGGAGGGGGGGCTACAACTGGGATACAAAGGGAATAAACTGTGATAAATAAAAACATTTTTGAACTATAAATATACATTTCAATGTTCAATTTAAATGTATATATTTAAATGTCTTAAATAAGACAGCAAGTTGGTTATTTTGGAAAATAAACTGATAAATCAACTGGAAAAAGGCCATCAACCTGATTTTCTCTTTTTGATATTTCTGATTTTGCATTTCATTTTTCATGTTAAGCTTGAACAGCAGTCAAGTCCCTAGAAGTTCAAGGAAAAGAGTACTAACACCTGGAGAGTTCAGGTCTCATTTTAAAGCTTAGCTTTGTAAGATGGATTTGCAAGCGGGGTTAATTTCTATAGTTTAGGCCATTCCCTCTCCCTATCTCCCCTCCCAACAATTCTTAATAAATATAGATCAGAAACAAAATCTTCTACAAGCATTTTTCTAAGATGAAAATGCCCTAAGTAGTGCCACCCAGCCAGATGTTAAGTTCATCTGCAGGGGCCTTTATGAGATGCTTATGCAGTCTGAGGGAACAGGAAGAACAAGAAGACGGAAGGTGCTGTAAGCATGTTGTCTTCCCTCCATCCTTTTATTCCTGTTATCCCTCTTCTACCTCACATGTTGCAGTCTGAATGTATTTCTTACAAATCCTAACTCGAAATGTGAGATTTAGGAGATGGAGCTTTGGGGGAGGTGAGTGAGTCTTTTGTTTGTTTTTCAAGACAGGGTTTCTCTGTACATTCTTGACTGTCTTGGACTCAGTTTGTAGACCAGGCTGGCCTCAAACTCACAAAGATTCTCCTGCCTCTGCCTCCCCAAGTGCTGAGATTAAAAGCATGCACCACCACAGGTAGCTAAAATGCTCATTTTTATATAAAGTTTTATTTTGTTTTGTTTTTTCCTCAACAAATTATAGCTTTTTCTCATTTTCTAATCAGATAGTTTTATTGATTAAATTATTTTAATTTTAATTTATTATTTCTGAAGGAACTATTTAAGCTTTGAGGTGCTCTTTAGAGGCAAGAATTATGTTCAGGTATCTTTCTTTTGTAGTATATGACAGCACAGATAATTTTGTAATGGGTTGGGAGGGTTGAGGGGGGTTGGTTTGCTATGGGAAGAGTTGTGTCATGGCTCATATTTTTGAATACTTACTCACCGGAGAGTGACACTATTTGAAAGGAATAGAAGGATTAGGAGGTGTGACCTTGTTGGAGGAAGTGTGTCACTGGGGGTGGGTTTTGAGGTTTCCAAAGCCCATGCCAAGTCCAGTGTTCTCTTGACCCATGAATCAGATTGTAGCTTTCATCTACTGCTCCAGCTCATTGTGGGCTGATGCTCCCCACCATAATGATAATGGACTGAATCTCTGAAACTGTGAGCAAACTCCCAACTAAATGCTTTCTTTTATAAGCGTTGCCTCAGTCATGGTGTCTCTATAGCAGTAGAACAGTGACTGGGATAGTCCTTAAACATAATGACAAAGAATTTCTACCTGTCATGTTTTGGTTTATAATTCCTTTCTTGACTCTCATGGTTACAGTTCTGACAAATTTGGGACTATATTTTACAAGTGCATTTCATGGTGGTTGAATTTGCATAGGATGCTAGAGACAGTAGCCTTTGTTGAACCTGGGCCTTCTAAGAATAGCTTCTATACATCAACACCATTTTTCTCTGCTCTCCTGTCTGTCTGAAGCTATAGGTTTTCATTTATAACAGAGATAAAAAGGAGGGAATGAAGGATAATGCCTTCCCTAAACTGGCTTTAGGTGCTAACTTAAGGAGCTTGAGGAGTTACCTATGTGAGGTCCCTGGATGCTGGGCCTTCTCAGTGTGTCTATGCACGACCCAGGCTCCTTTAAAGGGACTTGCTATGGTCCAAACTGGACTTGCCTTCAATCCATGCTGTGACCCACAAACCTGTTAGCAGTGCCAGGTGGAACCATTCTCCTTGATTAGGGGACCAATTCCAGCACCACTTGTGGGTTTTCAGGTTTTGTTAGGGACCTTTTCTCATTTCTTAATTGTCCTGCTGACAATGAGAAGAATGTTGACTTCTTCTCCCTTGGTCTGGGATCCTTCTTCCCTCCGTACTGGGTCTGGAGGTCCCAAATTATGGTGGTAGAGTTACTTTATCATAGGGAAGAACCTATATCTTGGTTTCACCTTCAGAAGTAGGAATTGAACTCAGACAAGTTCACATGTAGGCCAAATGGCTACAGAGTGAGTGGTTCCAATCCCAGAGATTTCTCCTTTGTGAGTCTATGTCTCTTAGAATGCTCCATCAACATCTCTGAAAGTCCACATTTTCCCTTCTGTTTTCTAACAGTGGTGCTGAACTTGGTAGACAAGTACTCTACCACACATTCAGCTCTTAGTTTTTTGAGTCAGAGTCTCCCTGTTTACCTAGGATGCTCATGAACTTATGAGCCGTCTGCCTCAGCCTCCCAAGTACTGTTGCTCCAGGTATAATACCCTATCTGATTTTCTTAAGTTTATTTGATTTCTTCTGTTGTCTGATATACATGATATGGTGCGTGCATGTGAATGTGCCATTCTGCACACACATGAATATTCCTTCAGAAACCAGAACATGGTATGAAATATCTTCCTTCCTTGCTTTCTACCTTATTCTCTTGAGACAGTGTCTCTCATCAAACCCAAACAAAATCATTATGTCTAGGGTGGATGCTGAAGATTTTAACTCAGGTAGTCATGCTTGTAAATGAGCGCTGTTATGCATCTGAATTAGAGAGAGAGAGAGAGAGAAGAAACAGGAAATAAGCACTGAGCCATCTGAATGAAAAAAAGAAACAGGAAAGACATGATTAGTCCCAGTTTTGGCACCAGATGAATGAAAACAAGAATAAAAAAGGAAAAGAACATGACTGCTACTAGGTATGGTGAAGGAGAAAGTTTATTGTAGATAAAAGGAGAGCATAGGCAGAGGCAGGGGCATCTGGGAGAGTCCAGAGAAAACATGACCCTGAGCCAGGCCATGTAAGGTGAGGGGAAAGGGGAAAGCCACAAAGATAGGTGATAAAGCTTCTTTCTTCTCCTTTGTTTGCCCCTTAATCTGCTTTTATCCACTCATTCCTTTGCTTAGCATCTCTGTTTGCCATGTGCCTGTATCCAAAACTTTTCATGAGCACATCAACCCAGGTGTGAAGAATGAGCCCCTAGTTTTACTTCTAGGTTCTGCCACTGAAGGCCAGGGCTTTGGATAAATAATATAACCTCTTCATGCTCCAGCGTCCTTCTGGTTGAAGTGGAGGCCATGATACTGTCTGCTTCATCATGTTGAAATGCAGGTGACTCATTTAAAAAGCACGTTAAATCGTTGCCCAGCACAAAAGCATCAAGTGTTAGCCATTATTATTTCCATCTCTTAGAATCATTTAAGGAAAGCATCACTTCCCCCCATTTTCTTATTAAGGACATGAAGTCTCAGAAAAACAATCTAACATCAGAACCAGTTTTCAAACCCTGGTCTGTCTTGTTTCCAAACTACATGGTTTATCTGTTGTTTTCTCTTAGTTCTTGGTTGGTTGTCACAGGAGCCTTATCGACCCCAAGGCTAGGATTTCAGAGGGCTAAGAAAAACGATGAGCTCATCATGTATTTCAGAGTGATGGGGTAACTCAGGTCTCCCGACAGTCTTAAGAATGAAGTCAGCCACCTCTTGGGTCAACAAGAGTCATTCCTTGTTATTTCCTGTCCTTGAACTGTTGTGTTAGTAAATAGGATTTTTCCGGAACTTCTTTGCCTCCGCCCCCACCTCCTTCAAAATAAGCCTTCCTGTTCCTTTTCCTTCGGGAACCGACGCGCCGATGCGTGTTTTGAACTGGGATAAAGATCACACCTGTTTTAGTGGGTTGACTTCCAGGAACAGGATGTAAGCAGTAGGTGCTGTTGGCGGAAGGGCCTGACTCATGGTGAAAATTCTTCATGTAAGATCATCAGGCTTTGCGTAAGTGAAGTTCAGCCCAGGCTCATGATGGCATGCTTTGTGTACTGGGTCATGAGCTGCCCTCGCCCTGACAACCAAGCCGCCTTCCACAGCCTTGCGGGGAATCCATCACTTCTTCCTTACTGAGTGTAAACAGGTCCCTACTCTGTGCTGGACACAAGGTGCAGTGTTGAAGCCTGTGGGGAAGGAGAGGTCAAGTTAGGGTGCAAGATATGACCTGTCTCCTGTTGGAGTTCTTATCCTTACTAGTGAATAACATGGTCTAAGTGCGGTTCTCAGAAGGTATTGGAAGCTAGGGCTGTGTGTAGACTGGTGACTGTTACCCGTAGTGGGGTTTGAAATAATGGTGGCTCGGAGCTGGAGTGAGATGGACCGTGCACATAACTCGCTCTGAGTCTCCTGTGAAATGTTCAAGTTCCCCAAATCCAAATCTAAACCAACCGATGACCCCGTGGCTAGATTGCGCTGTGCTTAGCAGTATAAAATCGTGATATTGATTTAAGGGAGGCATGTAGAACTCAGTTTCATTACTTTTAAGGCGGGTCTCATATTAACAAGGCAAAATCTGATCATCTGATAAAACACCATTGTTGCTCTATGTTCCAGGAGTTAAGAAACACTGGACCAAGATTTCCTTGGACGTTAAAGAACAGGAAGAAGAAATCAGAAAAAAATTTGGGAGAAGTGAGGCATTTGGAGAGAGGACAGTGGCCTGTGTAGAGAGGAGCCATTGTCCCCTGGGGGCATCTTCTAAAGCGTCTTAGATATTAGCCCTGGGCCTTTAAATTTTGTGCCATGGACACTAAGGTTAAGGGGTAAGAAAGTCAAGTACTTTCTGCTGAGTGTGCTCAGGAAGTGGCTGGTTAAGCATGGAGGTGGGAGGAAATCAAGAGGCATCTTATCTTAAGGGTGTTTCAAAGTGTATGCGTGTGTGGAGGGGGCCAGGATTCCATTCCTCTAAGCAGGCAGGGGGGCCAGTAGCCTTGGCTGAGCTGTAAGGCAAACATGAAGTATATAAGAAGAGCAGAACATTGGTAAGAGAATAAATCACCTTGTAGATAGATCTCAGGACACAGGGTCTTTCATTTTCTATATCTGGTTTTCGTGAGATAAACATCATGAGGCAAGATGAACTCAGGGACTAGGAAGTCAAGTTAAGTCTTTGGCTTTTTCCAATACTCTTTTTAGGAGGGGAGCTGGGATAGGAAATACGCAGAATACTGGGGGGGGGGGTGTTACTGAATGGCTGAGCAGGGCTTTACATGCACTGGAAACCTGGCCTTTGTTTATCTTTCTGAATCTCATTATGAAGTTTTCATTGTTGTAAATAGGATTTAGAGGGTTATTAACATACAAGTTGTTTAGTCAAGGATTAATGGGAAAAGGAAATGCAGGAACATTCAGGTTCCATTATTGTCCAAAGGGCAAAAACCTGGGCAGCAACTTCAGAGTCACCCATGGTCCACTCACGGGCTCCCCGCTGAAGCCCACAGTGGAGGGGCGCACATGGTTGAGCTAACCTCTACCAACATGCTTACAACTCAGGTCCGTTGGATTCAAAATCAGGAAGAACTGTTTCCACCCTAAGATAAGAAGGAAATAATGGTTGTGTTCTAGAAATATTATACCCAGTTAAGGAGAAACTTCTGGAAAAGGTTCTGTGGTTAGCGTGGAGTAAGTTCAGTTTAAAAACCCACTAGAAGGTGGAAATGGAATGTGACGTTTGGCTGTGAGATCAGGGCATAGAGGCCACTGAAACGACAGCCACTTACATTGTGTGGCTATATAGTTTTGATAATCATCTGTGTCGAGTGGCAATTATGGCAGTGGATAGCTTTATGTTAGAATGATACAAAGCTTGTTCACTCATCCCTCAGTATTCAAGGAGCCCTTGTGTGTTTAGCAGAAGCAGAGATGATAAGGAGCAGGAGGAGGAAATACAGAGGCGGGGTCCAGGAACTAGAAGAATACAGGTGATGAGAATAGCAGACCACTGACCTCGGACGACTTGGGGAAAGACTGACTGGACTTTGCAGATAGGACCCTGGTTACCTTGGAGGCTTGGGAGAGGTGTGTGAGTGCAAGGCAGACTGCAGGGCATTAAGACTTTAGCCAGTTGCAGGAAACAAAGGCAGAAGACTGATGTACAGCCTAAAAAGTGTGAAAGAGAAGAGAAAGAAAACTGGGCTCCAGTTTTTGTTCTGGTATCTGCCTGCCTGCCTCTAACAGATATCCCTTCTTGAAAAACTGGGCTTTCATCAAAGCACTTAAAGGTCATTTGGCTGGAGAGGGATATGATATTGATGCTATCAAATCAGGGGGAGGTCAAGCCACTAGGAGAAAGGAGGATCACAGACATTTAAATTACCCATCACCAGAATGGGAAAATGGGGAGAAAATTTGAATAAGTACATTTGGTTGCAGCATGTTAGATGACATTAGAAAGCACAGACATCTTTGAAAGAGGAGACGGGATGCTATCACGCACCCCTGCCTTAGCTTTGCAGACCCCTGGAAACCCTGGAACAGGACAGCTAGGAAAAGACTTAGAATCATGTATGTGTCCTGGCTGGGTGAACTTGGGCAAATCCTTAAAACCCTGGTAGGTCAATTTTCTCATCTACAAAGCAGGGTAATAGGAGGAGTATTAAAACAAAATGCAGATATGATAATACATGTAAAACACTTAGCTCCGTGACTGCCTATGGTCAACACTTGGTGTTAGCAAGGATCTTATTTATTTAAATCACTTTATTGAGGCATGATTGTCATGCAAAGAGCTGTCATTACTAGTGTGTATAACTTCATGTAACCATCTGCACAGCCAGTGTCAGCTGTATCTTAGTACCTCCAAAGATATCTTAATATCTCCATTTCTCTCTCCCTTCTTCCCTTCTTTTTTCTTTCCCTACCTTCTTATATGCTAAAAACCCTCTTAGCAAAATTTAAGGTATTGCAATACCGTATTTTTTTAATTATAGGCATTATGCTGTAAAGCAGACCTCTACAATTATTCTTAAATGTCTCCAAATGTTTGGGCCCCCCCAGACTTGAGTTCGAGTGAAGCGCCAGCACACCTGGCCTTCGCTGCCTGCCAGTGCCCAGTAAAGAACACTGACCCTGGAACTGAAGTGCTACCCCACCTCTGTTCCTGGTGTGACCCCGGGAAAGTGTCTTAACCTTTCATGCCAGTTTTTTTTTTTTCGGGGGGGGGGCTGGGTGGCACATATGCTTTATTACTGGAAAGTATCACAAAGATAACAGGGTATTGGAGTTGTGTGCCCACAAATTGCGTGTCTTCTATGGTTTCTTATGCAGAATGCCAGTGCGGTTGTCTGGTATCTTCTAGTGCTCTGCTAAGGCTGTGCAGGACCCCTTCCCTCCTGCCACACAGGGAAGGCTCTTAGCCACCCCCAAAGCCACTACTGCCTCTCTCCCCCTCTCCTGATCAGCAGGTCACACTGTTTCTCATAAGAACAGAGGTGGGTTCCAATAACCCAGAGAGCTGACCAAAAATTAAAGTAACCCATTGCTCCTGGTAATGACACTCTCTGTGAGTATAATTTCAGCAAAGGCTAAGCTCGTGGGGTGGGGCCTCTGCTCAGGTCCACCAGCTGTCCCAAACTTGGTTCTAAAGCACTGTGTTGTTGGGAATATTCCCACCCCTGCCTTGCAATCAAGACTCTGTCCTGTATTTCTATGTTGCCTTTCCTCTGTGGGACCCAGGAGACTGTCTGTCCCTTTGATATCTATTAAACAGATGAGTCCTCTGCTGGAGAACTTGCTGGTAACTGGGTGCACAGGTGGGAATATGCCTTCTTACTCAAGGGCACTGCGGATCCAGGTACTCATAACTGGTAGTCCTGTCTCAGAGGGCGGGATTGGCCCTTCAGTGAACCAAGTCGGCACGCTAGTGAGATCCGGCCATCTCCCATGAGAGCGATTTCTAGAAAACCCTGTTTTCATTTCAGCCACAAAGCAGGAGCCCAACTGTTCGTAACAGCCTGGTATTTCAGCCTTGTAATCCTCACTGGTGAACATGAAGAATCCGTAGGTTTTTCTTCAAGTCCCGACCTTTCATTCTCAGGGTAGCAAAGAGTTTTCCAGCCAGTCTCCTCTGGTTTCAAAGCCAATGATCTCACAGAGTTTCTAGCACTGGCCCACAGTTCACCTTCCCACCCATACCCAGGTCAATAAGATAACAGAAGAGATGAGAGGCAGGAAGATACGGGAAGTAAAAGTGTGGGGAATGTTTATTGGGAAGGAAATGGAAGTTGGCCTCTTTCATGAGTTAGCAGCACGGTGTGCTAAGGGGCTGGTTTCAAGGATGATGGCCCCTGTGTAAGTTTTTGAACAACTCTGCTGTCTCAAGTGCTGCTAATGAGAGTCACCTGATAAGGGGATAGAAGCATCCATCAGTCAACTTCCTTTGGATTTAGATTTACTTCCTGTGACAAATACAGATATGTGGACTTCAGATTTTAGAGTCATTGGCCACTGTGATGTTTAGTCTAATTCAGTGTCATTTTCTTGTAGCTCTGAGGTGCAGGTGGCCAGCTCTAACCATTCATTTGTCTGCTATCTTTGGCACAATTTCTGGCTTATAAGGTGATGAAGGACACCACAGAAACACGGCTGTTAAGAACTTTGCTCCGATGTTAATTACAAGTTTTTGTCGAGCTTTATTTACAGGATGAGGACAGAAAGCATAGACTTTTAATAAGTTATCTTCAGAAACCAGCAGGAGAAAGACAGGCAGAGGATTCTAAGCCGAAAGGCCAAGGTTTTCAGAACAGTCCTCTCTGGAGGAGGAGGCCTGAAGCATTTCCCCTGAACCATTAGCTCACGGCCTGGATTTTATTCTGTAAGAATACAGTATAAAGCCAGGCATGGTGGCACATGCCTTTCAGCCTGGCACTAGGGAGGCAGAGGGAGAAGGATCTCTGTGAGTTTGAGGCTAGCCTAGTCTACATAGTGAGTTCTAGGAAAGCCAGAACTATGTAGAGAAACTCCGTCTCAAAAAAAAAAAAAAAAAAGTTAAAAAGAATACAGTATAGAGATAGCTTGGTCACTTGGCAACATGGCTTGTTCACCTTAGGCAGCCCATTTTGAAACAACATAGGTAATGGCTTGACACAGCTCTTTTGGCCCTGGTGGCCAGAGAAGACCAAGGGCAGCAAAGTGGCAGCCTTGTGAGGTGGGCAGCCTTGTGAGGTGGGTGTGTACTTGAAGAACAAAGCCTTCCATGGGGATCTGAGCACAGCCAGCCACTGGGAGTGTTGTCTTTGTAAATGCACTTATTCCATGCCAACATTGAGGGACCTTGAGCCTGGAAGTTGTAAAAGAATGGCTGTGCCACTTTAGATTTTCACCATAACACATTTTTACTTTAGGGCTGAATCACAGTAACCCAGCAACTTGATTTTTCATCCCAGAGTTCCAGACAGTGTTCTGGTGAGCTCTGAAGCACACCTAGGCTGGAACTATAGTTTTGATTCAAGTACAAAGAGAAAGCTTCTTATTTCACATTGATAGTTCATTACTGGTCTCTGTCTTGAAAATTATATGAAAATAATAAATATACACACATATACATATAGTTCTATACCGAACACTGGCTAAACAGCTACCAGCATTCCAATACAGTACATTGAATAAAAAAACCCTTTCCCTTCCCCCTAAACCCCTTAACTATCTTAAAACTGTTATTGCAGAACTATGCTGATCCTTTTTGCCTTTTTTTTTTTTTTCCAGAGTAGTTTGAGAGTGGCTGGAGTTGAGGTCAAATGGAAAAATTTGGCACATTAACTGGGTAGGGTTTTTGACATGCATTATAATCTATAAAAAGTGAGAAGACAAAGGAAGTCATACCAATAGAAAGCCTGAGTAAAAATTTGTAGCCAGTAATAATATTATTTAAAAAGCCCAAACACTGGTCTGTGCATGAGAAAGCAATTTATCTTCCATATCCATTACCTAATCCCAACAGTTGCTCCTTCATATACTTCAAAATTTTGTTTTATAGAATTAGAAAATCCTGATAACACAACTTTCTTAATTTCCTTTCAGTCTACCCTCCCCCAAATCCCCCAACCCAGAGAACAAAGGCTATAAAGCCAAATATAGAAAATAATCTGGAGGTCTGTTTATCAAACTCAAATGTACAGTTGACTCTCAGTGTTCCTCTCTCTCCTCAGTGTTGGAGTTTGCTAAGAGATGGCTCCTGTGGAGTTGTCCTTCATCATCCCAGTCATCTGAAGCTGGGCCTCTAGAACTGTGAGGTCTGGGTGAAGGAGATGGTGTCGGATTTGTCCACTGCAAAGCCCCCATTGACATAGGACTTCTTGGTATCTGAGTCTTCATTATCGAGGACTGTGGGTTCCAAGGCAAAGGGGTTCACGATGTTGACTTCAGATGAAACGTCCATCTGCTCCAGCTCCTTCTTGGAGAGCTTTTCCACAATGCCGGTCCCAAACGCATCACCCAGAACATTCACCATGGTCCTGAACCGGTCCCTGGGAAAGACAGAGGAGACTCAGAAGGGGCCCAGGGTTTATCTCCCTTCTCTGATGGATGGAGAAGGGGGAGGTTCTGATATGTTCAGTTAAGATATAAGTCCAAGCAGAAAGCTGTCCTCCTGGCTCACCTGATGCCTCAACTGGCCTGGAGCAGGTGACTCCCAAAGGGACAGAAAGAGAAAATGGGCTCATTTGGTTTGGTCTGTGCTCCTTGTAGGGAGCAATGACCTCTCTGTCTCCTGAAGTTCCCTCCTTTCTTCCCAAATAAGAATGGGGTCTCCAGAGACACATGGAGGGTACTCAGAATGGCTCTGGACTTCATAAGGACTTGAGCTCTGACTTCTGTCCTGTGGGTCTCCCAGGGATAATGCCATGGTATCCTGGGCTCTCTTCTGGCTAAGGTGAGGCAGCCTCAATATTTGGTTGAGGTAGTTGGTACCAAGTATGTGGGCCGTAAGTGGGTCCCTGATGTACTCATCTTAGCAGTGAAAGTCCCTGCTTCTAGGAAAGGTAGGGGTTCAAGTCAGTCTGCTTCCTTCCTTTGCCTGACATGACCATTTCTGTGCAGTGGTCACTGCTTCCAAGCGAGGTACAAGCATGGAACCTCCACAGCATGACTGTGTCCCTTTCTCTCATCTTAGCTGCAGTTTATACACTGTACAACCCTGGTCTCACTCAAATCTGAAATGAGGTTCAGTATGGAGATACACTTACTCTGATGGCCTAGGACAGGGACAGAGCTTGGTACTAGAAGGTATACATCTATAGACATGAGTATCAAAAGTAAAGCCAGAGACCAGGCCACTCCACTTGAATCTTTGGGTGTCAAGAAGAAGGCATCATCTTACACAGTTGTTCTATGTATGGGTGTGTGTGTGTGTGTGTGTGTGTGTGTGTGTGTGTGTGTGTGTGTG